ACGGGTCTCTGGCCTGGGGGGCATCGGGGCGCGAGGGGGCTGCGCCGGGCCCGCGGGCCTCCCCTCGGCCCGTGGCTGGGAGCCCCGTCCCGCTGCGGCCTGGCCTGCCTGGTCCGGTCCTGGGGCGGCGCCGGTGCGCCTGGGTATGTTTCAGCCAGTGGCCCATGAGTCAGCCGGCCGCCTCCCAGCCCTGGGGCTCCGCAGGGGGAACCTCTTCCTCCGGTGAAGGGGTTGGTGAGGGGGTTCTCTGCTGCCCCTCGAAGGCCCCACACCCTCCTGCCGTCGCCCTTACCTGGGCAGGCTGGGGCCTCCTTTGGGGCCAGACCCTTGGGGCGAGCCAGCTGGCTCCCTGTGGGTCAGATGTCAGGACGAACTTCCTGGGTGTCTGAGCCAGAAGGAAACCCAGGGCCAGGGAGAGTTGGGGTCAGACTCCGGGTCAACGTTGGGGTCCGGAAGTTTCAGGGAAGAGGCTAGGGGCCAGGCCTCAGGGGCCTGTGTGGGGGCATATCCAGGGGGCTGGGCTGGCAGGGGTCTGTGGGTGTCCTCCTCCCTGGGCTGGGCTGGTCCTGGGCGGCATCTGAGCATGAGGGTGCCACTGGTGGCGGGGGAGGGGGTAGGCAGGGCTCCTGAGGTGTGCCCACAGCCCACCTCTGCCCCCACCCCAGGTGTAGTCAGCCCAGCTCTGCCGGGAGGCAGGCCCAGCTGGTGGCACCCCCCCCTTCCTCTGCACACCAGCCCCCCAGCCCTGCCCAGGCCTCTTCTGGGCCCTGCCTGGTGCCCTGGCCTCTATGGCTCAGCGCTCCGCCCGGCCTGGTCTGTTCAGCCCGCTCTGCCTGCCTCTGTCTCCCTCTTACACCTCAGCGCCCACTCCCCACCCACGGCTTCCCGGGCTTCTCCCTCCTTCCCACAGGGACGGGCCCTTCCCCACCCGCAGCTCCCAGACCTGAGCACAGCCAGGGCCTGAGGGGATCCCCTCGTTCCAGGGCTCCACCCGGCTCCCCCTGGGCCTTAGGCTCCCTAAGCTCCTCCCCAAGGTCACTGGGCTGCAGAGCTGGAATTTGAACTTGGACCCGGTCCCTCCGCCCTCCCTGGCCTGCTAGTGCCTCCTCCCCTTCGGCTGCCAACTGGGCACCAAGCTCAGCCCTCCCTTTGCACCCGGAAAATGGCAAAAGTGGAACGAAGGAGCATCCTGGGCCCCGGGCCCCTCCAGGCCAGTGTCGTCCCCCGCCTTGGGCTTACATGGCTCCCTGCCCCAGTCCACTGAAGATGCCCTGTCCCCTCTGGAGCAGGCCTGTAGGTGGCCCCAGCCCCGGGTGCTCTCCGACCCAGATGCCTGGACCCGCCTCCCTGGCTGGCCCTGAGGCCCCCCACCCCACCCCAGGGGGCTGGAGGCTGCAGGCTCCCCAAGGGGAGGGCCTGCGTGTCACAGCCTGTGCGTGTCTGTGTGCGCCCGCAGGCCTGGGTTTCGCCCAGGTGTGTGTGTACCTGGACACACGTGCCCGGCGTCCTTGGCTCAGCCTGCCAGGAATCCCATTAAGCAAACACTCAGGCTCACCCACTGAGGTCATGAGCATTCCTGACATTCTCCACGGACAGACGGACAGAGGAATCTGGCCGAGCCCCTCCCCAGCCCCTCCCCGGAGAGCCAGGACCCTCAGTGGCACGTGAGAGGGGTTGGCCCCAGGCCCCCAGACCCCTCACACCTCCTGGGAGCCCTCTCTGTAGGTGGGACCCGGTCAAACCCGAAAGTCCTGAGGCGCTTCCCCCCATGGAAACCAGACCCCTGGTTTGTGCCCCTCAGCCCTGGCAGACCCCCGCACACTGAAGCCACAGAGGGACGGCGTCATGCGTGACGTTTGGTGGGCAGACAGTGTGAGCCAGAGATCCCCGTGGGGCACAGACCCCACAGGACAAGGACACATCAACCTGGCCCAGGGACACCAGGCTCTGCTCACGCCAGAGAGAGCGGCCCCCTCTGGACTTCGCCCTGGGCTCTGGGTCCCCAGGGACCCCCCCCAACCCTGAGCTCCAGCCTCATCCTGTGCTATCTTCCTCTCATGCCCAGTCCCACCCACCTCAGGGCCTTTGAACGTGCTGTTTCCTCTGCTTGAAGATGCTTCCTCCCCCCACCCCACTTCAGAGCCCCCAGGACACCCTTTTCACAGCCCCACCCCAGACAGCCTCTGGGGGTGGGACCCCTCTGCCAGCCCATCCTGGCGGTCCCTGAGGAGGACAGAGGGTCTGGGGCAAGATGAGGCTGCAGTGACGGCCAGCTGGGACATGGGGCAGGGGTGGTCCTGGTGTGTCCTGGGAATCTGGCCAGGCCATCAGGGCTCCAGCCCCTGGATCTGGGGTGAGGGGAGGAGGAGACCCAGGCCCTGAGCTGAGGGAAGTGGGGCCACCAGCCAGGCCCCGAGGAGGTGTCAGCTCAGCTCATCTATCCCCTCAGGTGTGGGCTGGGCACCAGGCCCTGGACTCAGGCCACACCGAGGTCTGCCCTTCCACTGCCGGCCACCACCGAGGACGCCATGAGCCAGTTGGGGTCCGTGAGCTACAGCCCAGGTGCCGCCAAGTGAGTCCTCACCCCTATCCACTCACACCCCCACCCACCGAGCAGTCCCCAGGGAGGGGTGCGGTGTGGGACCAGCCCTCACCAGCCCCTCCCCTGCAGTGGCAGCCTGGGCCGGTCTGACGGTGTGGCAAAGATGAGTGCCAAGGACCTGTTTGGTGAGTGAGGTATGGGTTCGGGAGAGTCTCATCCACTCCCACTGCACGGCTGTGCTGGGCCCCCACAGGGGCGATGCGGGGCAGCCCTGGGAGCCCAGAGGGGGCCCTCGGACCCTAATCAACCAACAGCTGTTCAGGTGGCTTCCCAAAGCTCCCGGCCTCCGAGCAGCCCTCCCCACCCTGCTGGTAAGGGGAGAGGCTTTACTAATAATTCAGGGAGCATCAATATTGATTGCCAGTGCTCTGTGCTGCAACCAGATCGCCGTGGGGGGGGGTTCAGGCAGGACGGAGTGCCAGGTGTCTGCTCCAGGAGGGTGGGGCCTGGCAAGCCCCCAGCGCCCAGCCCCCAGCTCTGCCCCTCCCCCAGACACACACTCCAGCCCTCCCCCCAGACACACTGTCTCTTTTGTGCCTTCGGACCAGGTGCCCAGTTTGGAAGGCAAGGAGCCCCAGGGAGGGGCAAGGAGATGTTAGCTGGCAGCTCTTAGGGTAGGGGGAGAGCCCCGGCCCAGGCCTCCCCCAGGAAGCGGGGGGCAGCCTCTGTGGGAGGAGGCTGAGCTTTCTGTACCCCTGCCAGGACAGACCCCCCCGTCACAAGTGTGCCATTACCACTGTGAGCTGAGGGTACTTCCAAGGGGCCATCCTGGGGACAGAGGGAGGTCCCCGTTCTGCCAGGAGGGGCCCTCACTCGCATTTCATGCCCTTGAGCCTTTCCTGTGGCCACGAGGGGCCTGCAGGGCAGCACCCCTCGCCTCCATCCTGTGGCCCAGCCTGGGGGTCCAGTCCCCTCTGGCCTGGGGCTGCGGATCCTGCCCTCTGGGGTGAGTGACCGGTGTCTCCCCGTTCAGAACAGAGGAAGAAGTATTCCAACTCCAACGTCATCATGCATGAGACTTCCCAGTACCACGTCCAGGTGAGGCCGGCCCCCCACCCCGTGTGGCACCCCCTCCCCAGTGCTCCAGGATCCCCGGGGGGGGGGGGAAACTGAGGCCCAGGGAGGAGAGGTCAGCCCAGGTTCTGACACCTGCAGCAGGCGGCCAGAGCCGGGGACAGCCCCATACTTGTCCTGGGCTCCGCCACAGTGTGGGGAGCCTCCTTCCAGTCCTGGGGACCTCACAGTCTGTGGGATGCAGGGGGCCCTTGAGCTATGTCGAGAGAGAGGAGACACCAGGAGCCGACACAGGCCAGACAGGACTAGGCTTGGGTGCTGTCCGGCAGCCCCAGAGGGGAAGCCCCGGTGGGAGGGAAATCGTCATCCAGGCCCCCAGACAAGGGACTGGATTAGGACAAGGGACTGGATTAGGGGGAGAAGACGGAACGAGGATGCCTGTATTGAGCTGCTGCAGGGAAGACCAGGGCTGCCTAGGTCTACCTAACTCTGGGAGAGCAGAGACCGGGTGACTGCCCTCTCCAGACAGCGGCCCTCAGTGGGGTTGCTCCTAGGTCAGTGTTAGTTCACACTTACAACTCAGGAAATATGGTTTTTTGTCTTTTTTTTTTTAATAATTTTTTTTATTTATTTATTTTTCCCCCCAAAGCCCCAGTAGATAGTTGTGTGTCGTAGCTGCACTTCCTTCTGGTTGCTGTATGTGGGACGCGGCCTCAGCATGGCCGGAGAAGCGTTGCGTCAGTGCGCGCCCGGGATCCGAACCCGGGCCGCCAGCAGCGGAGCGCGTGCGCTTAACCGCTAAGCCACGGGGCCGGCCCAGGAAATATGTTTTTTAAATGACCTTCCTGCTCTTGGCAGTTGGTCCTGTTTCTGGTTCCTGGCCGGTGTCCAAGCCTGCAGGGCAACAGGGCTAGGAATGGCCGAGGAGGGAGGAAGGGGGGCGCCCGGGACCAGGAAGTGGGGACTGGACCAGGAAGGTGGGGGACTCTGGACCAGGAAGGTGGGGGGACTGGAGCAGGAAGGTGAGGGGACTCTGGACCAGGAAGGTGGGGG